GAGGTGGGCGACCAGGGGCTTTCTCGGTTTAATAAACTTCGGGTCGTGGTGGCCGACGATGACTCTGAAGTCCCAGAAAGGCCTATCAACGGGGCGCACCCGGCCCTCCAGACCGACGATGATTCCTTATTGGACCAGGACTTACCTTTGACCAACAGTCAGCTGAGTTTGAAGGTGGACCCCTGTGACAGCTGCAGCAAACGGAGAGAGTTAGTGAAGCAAAGAAAGGTGAAAACCAGGTTGACCATTGCCGCCGTCCTTTACTTGCTTTTCATGATTGGAGAACTTGTAGGTGAGTTGTGTTGCCAACTCACTTTCTGTTTACTTTGCCTTGAGAGTCTTTGTCAGGCTGTAGTTAGTGACACATGATTTGAGATTTAAGCTTTCTTTTCAGGAAGTTTGTTATGTATCAAGATACTGATCTTAGGATGTGAAAAAGCCACAGGATTCCAAAGGGCATCAGCCGTAAGTAGTAAGTATAACCGAAACCTCCTGAGATAACTGTGCCTTTATCTTCTAGTTCTTCAAACGCCGTGTCATTTACTGTAAAGTTGATATTATCTTCATTGTATATCGTGTAACTTCCTCTTTTAAAAAACAATCATGATAAAACATCAGATTAATTTTTGCAATGTTAAAAGTAGCAAATGAGTCTAAAGTAGAACCATAGAATTTTACAGTATTAAGAGATGTTATTGAACACCTGCTGTACCTTTTTAATCACACATAAGAATTCTGAAAGCCTAAATGGGTTGCATAAACTGTGAGGCTACTTTAGTGGCTAATGGAAGAGCCTCGTCCACAGTCCCAGACTTCTCATTTTTTTTCTTACGTTTGACTTACTCAGTATCTTTATTACCATTTCCTTTTGAATTTATAGTCAATGGATTTGTAAAAGTCAACACTACCAACTAACTTGAAAGTTTTTCATTGTAAGGATACTCTGAAATGAACCAGAGGGCTCCACCAGTTCTATGAATTTGATTTTCTTTTTCATTTTTTAATTATTGCAAATAATACATTTTTAGTATAAGATAAATTCTTAGAGGTTACTTTCACTGTTAGGGTAGTGCATAGTCACCCTTCTTTATCCAAGGGCGATTGGTTCCAGGACCTCCCTCTCACCTAAATCTGAAGATGCTCAGTGCCTTATATAAAATGATGCAGTTATTTGCATATAACCTACATACATTTTCCAATAAACTTTAAGTCATCTCCAAATTATAGTACTAAATACAATGTAAATGCTATATAAATTGTATTGTTTAGGGAATAATTAACAAAAAAGAAAAAGTCTGTGCATGTTGAGTACAGATGTAGTGTTGGGTTTGCTTTTTTGTTTTTGTTTTGTTTTTTCCAGATGTTTTCCATTCATGAATGGTTGAATCCAAGGATAGAGAACCTGCAGATATGGAGGGCCAAGTATAATTGTCAACTTCTCCTAATAACAGTTTTTACAAAGTGACATTAAAGCAAGGAGCTGATCCTCTCATGTTATCTCTTTGATGAACCATGATGAGAACCAATTGGTAGTCTAGATTTTAAATGCTTGACTGAAAGCTTTACATAGAAAAATTATACCCATTTCCTACCTCATTTGCATAGCATTCCTCCTAAGTGTTAACTTAAGCCATACTGATCTTTGTCTTCTCAGGATTCACATAGCTTTTCCTTACCCTAATGCCTTCAAACTTTTGGATTCTCTACATCAGTGATTTTTTTTTTCTGACCTCTCAATAGTGAGAAATGCACTTAACATTGTGACTTGTGTAGACATTCATGCATACATATGTATGTATGTACATGTACACATATGCATGTGTGTAAACACATGTATAATTAAAATAAAAATTAGGTGTTGTGTCCTAATATTTGTTCATTTATGCCTTAGAATGCTAATTTCATGGTCTACTAATAGGGTTTTATGTGGATTTCCTTTTCCCATATCTTTTCTTGGCTAATTTCTTGTATTCTTTTTTTAATATTTATTTTTTAGTTGGACACAATACCTTTATTTTATTTAGTTATTTTTATGTGGTGCTGAGGATCAAACCCAGGGCCTCGCACATGCTAGGCAAGCACTCTACCCTGAGCCACAAGCCCAGCCCTAATTTCTTGAATTCTTGACTCAGAAAACACCTGAGAGACTTTTTTCTGATAGACTAAAGGAAATTACCCTTTGTCTTCTTTACCATCTCTAACTTTCAAAGCCCTCAGCACCTGAAATTATCTTATTTGTGTATTTATTTGTTTAGTATCTCTTCCTGTACTGAAATATAGGCTGAATTCCCAGAACCTTAAACAGAGATGGGCACAAAGCAGACATTCAATAAATAAATTTTTTATTGAATTAATTTTTCTCTGTTAGACAATTATAAATATTTAAGCTATAAAGAAATTCAAAGATAGGGGCAAACTGTGTCCAGATGGGGCACAATCTCAGCAGATTAAAATTTGGTAATTTGCCCAAATTCATACAATAAGAATATTGAAACATTCAGACTTTGTGATGTTTGAAGTTCAAGTAATTAACCACAATTTTCCCCCTTTAGAGTTTATTTCACCTAAGTGAAAGTCATTAAGATATAATTGGCCTGACTTCCCATTTTGAGAATCTCTAATTTGGTAATTATTATTTAGTGAAAACCATAATAAGTATTTCCTTTTAAACACTGACTTTATTTTCATATATGAAACTCTTATTAAATAATGCAGAGATGATAATACTTAGTATAGACATTAACAATTGAGAATGTTGTTTAGAAGTTTTTATAATAGGGTATTAAAGTATGTTCAAAGGACTTAGAAATAAAGCATCTCATGTAGGAAGTATGTAGTAATGAAACATGAAGTAATTTGAAGATCTGAAAGAGAAGACTTGGTTTTAAATCTTAGCTTTGCTATTAACTTGCTCTAGGACATTGGGCAACATTCATTTTTTCTTCCTTCATTCAGCAAGTATTTTTTAAATATATACTATATGCCACTACATGTTCTAGATATATAATGGACCAAAAAAACCTAGTAGGATTTCTACTATCTGAAGCATTTCATCTAAAGAAAAAAGGTATTAAATGAATAGACATGTTTAATTGTTTTAAGTATTATGAAGAAAAAGAACAATGTACTATAAGACATAGAAACCAGTGGGACATAGTTTATGCATGAGCTAAGTACATTTAAACCAAAAGAGAATAATAGAAGTTATCCAGGCAAAGAGAACAGCATGTACAAAGGTTCTAAAGTCTTAAATTCTTTAAAGGAAACTTAAAAAGAGGGCCAATATGGCAGGAATGTAGTGAGCATGTGGGAAAGAGGCAGCAGGACCAGATAAGCAGGTCCTGATAGGCCACATTGAGTGAGATGAGTATAGTTCTTCTTCTAAATACAATGGGAAGCCAGTGAAGGGCTTGAGTAGGAGAGCAACATGATGGCATTTGTCTTTTCAAAAGATTACTCTGGCTATTATGTGGAAAATGGATTGGAGGGTACAAGAATGGGTGAAAGTAAACTGTTACAGAGGTCCAGATAAGCAGTTTTGGCTTAGACTATAGAGTAGATGTAGAAAAATGAACTGATTGAGAACAGTCTAGATGGAACATTGATAAAACTGGCTGATGATTTGGATGTGGGGATTAATTAGAAAGAAATGTCAGGAAGTGATTCTGAAATTTCTTACCTAAGCAGTTCAGTGTGTGGAAAGGCATCATTTATGAAGCAGGAATAGAATGCAGAGCAGGATTTGGGCAAGGGTTCAAGAGTAGTTTTCATATGTATGGAATAGTCAAGTGGAGATGTCTAGTGGCTATTAAATATGAGTCTGTGGTTCAGAAGAGAGGTCAAAGTAGAGAGAGATGCAGTATGTGATGCCACAGGAATGAGTAAAATTACCTAGAAGGCTTCAGTCTTGAGGAACTCTAACTTAGAAGTCAGACAAGGCAAACAAGTGTCCCAAAAATCAAAAAAAAGAGAACACTGTAGTCACCCCTTATCCTCAATTTCACTTTCTGTGGTTTTGCTCTCCTTAGTTTTAGTTAACCACAATCACAGCCCAAAAATATTAAATGGAAAGTTCCAGAAATAAACAATTCATAAGTTTTAAAATGCTTATTGTTCTAGGTATTGTGATGAAATCTCACACCATCCTGCTTTGTCCTGCCCAGAATGTGAATCATCCCTTTGTCTAGCATATCCACACGTAACTTTTGATTATACTACATTGCTATCATTGTTCTATTTTATTATGGACTCTTGTTAAAATCTCTTCTCAGTTATAAACTTTTATCAAAGGTATATGTTTAAAAAAATAGTATATGTCAGATTAGGTACTATCCAAAGTTTCAGGCATCCACTAAGGAACTTAAATATATCCCTTGAGAGGATAAGGGTGGACCACTATAAATCATAGTGAAAATAAATAGATTGAAATTGTCCAATTAGATGAGGACTAAGATATTCCATAGGATTTAGTAAGAGCGTTATCAGTTTGTTTTTTTTAAAGAGAGAGTGAGAGAGGAGAGAGAGTGAGAGAGAGAGAATTTTTTTTTTTAATATTTACTTTTCAGTTCTCGGTGGACACAACATCTTTATTGGTATGTGGTGCTGAGGATCGAACCCAGGCCACACGCATGCCAGGCGAGCGCGCTACTGCTTGAGCCACATCCCCAGCCCCTATTTTTACAACATTTTTATTAGAAACAAAAACACTTGAGTGAACACAAACTCCCAGGTAAAGATGGCAAATTGAACTCATTCTTCTAATTTTGCTTCATCCCAAAGCCTCTCTTAAACTGCAATAAAGGGATTTGGGGGCAAAATAGTATAAATCCACACAGAGGGGAAATTCTGGAAAGGAGAAAATGGTAATAAAAAATTTGAAAACTGGGAAGGAAACAGATTAAAGAGGTAATTGACTTAAGAGACCCAAGAAATCCAGCAGTGGGGAAGGCTGAGAACCAGCCCAGTTTACTCTAGGGTTAATGGTTTCTCAAATTTTACTACATCAGAATCACACAGAGAACTTGGGACACGAAGTTCTGGGCCCCATCTTCAGAGATTCTAAATTAAATAGACCTGAGAGGGAACTGAGCATTTGATTTCTAATAAATCCCAGGGAGTATGCCTCCTATTATCCAGAGACCATTTTATTTGAGAACTATTACACTAGAGAAACCTAAGTAGGCCCAGAATTGGTTGTACTTAGCTGTTTGGAAGTGTGTTTAAAGGTGGGTAAAATAAGGAGAGTCAGTTAAAACCTTTTCAAGAACCATTCATTTATAATTGTATAATAAATGTAATTAGTATCCTCAAAGATATCAAAAGCACATGTATCCAAGAAACAAGAATAGCCTGCCTTAAAAAAGAAATTAAGGGTAAAGAAAAGAGCTTTTGAACAATAAAAATATAATAGAACTTTTTAAACTTCACAGAAGAGTTAGCAGATGATTAAGGTACTCTGTCAGAGTAAAATAAAAATGATAGATATTAGGAGAGAAAAGTTAAAAAAATTAAAATGTAGTATAGACTCCAATATAGTAGTCTCCCCTTATCCATGAAGGATATATTCCAGAGTCCCCAGGGACTACGTAAGACCACAGATAGTACCAAACCCTATGATCAGGGTTTTAATTCATTTTCTGTTGCTATAACTGAAACCACAGGCTAATTTATAAAGAATAAAGGTTCACTTGTTGAAGTCTGGGAAATCAATACCAGATGACCACATCTGGTAATGTCCTTCTTTTCAGAGTTCCAGGGCAGTGCCAGGCATCACATTGTGAGACATAGGGTCCTCATATTTCTCCTCTTACAAAATCCAGGGTGGCTTTGAAAAAGAGACCCACCTCTGAATTCATTTAACTGTAATAACCTTCCAAAGGTCAAATTAAGTTCCCCATCTCTTAATACCTCCCAATGGGAAATAAATTTCAACCTAAGTTTTGGTGGGGATATTCAAAGCATAGCATGTGGAAACAATGTTTTTCCTGTACATTGCCATCAATCAGAATATGTTTTCTAAATACTACCTTTTCTTCCTCTGTTTTGAGACATTGCTATTCATATTCAAGGGAATCAGTTCATTTGGCAGGGCTGGAGGATCCTGGGGGTTTAGGAGTACATAACCACTGAACTATACCGTAGCCCTTTCTTTTTTCTTTATTTTATTTTGTTTTTTGAGACAGGATGTTGATAAGTTATTGAGGAAGCTGATCTCAAACTTGAGATCTTTCTACCACAACCTCTTAAATTGCTGGGGTTACGAGCATATACCACCATGCCTGGAAGGAATCAATTAATTTTTATCTTTTATGTTGTGTATCTTGTGGGTTTCTTCAGTTTCATTTACTGTTCAACCTCTTCAACAAGGGAACAGATTTTCTTCAGCTTTGTTGTAATATTTATACATTACAGTTATTAATTCACTAATAGTAGAATTTGTAGGATGAGCAAAAGCTGCATTGCTAAAATACATTTTTCTTTATATGTTTGGCACAAATTTAGTGGTTCTTAACTTTTTTAAGGTCTTTGACTCATTGGAGAATCTATTAATAGAACTGGACTTTATCAACAACTCTGTATAGTGGGTGCTCCATATCTGTGGGTTCCCTTGGATTCAACCAATTATGTATTAAAAGTATTATTTTTATTGCATCTGTACTTAATGCACTTTTTTTCCTGTCATTGCTTTGTAAATAATACAGTGTAACTATTTGTTTTGTTTTGTCTTTGGTGCTGGGAATTGAACCTAGAGTCACTTTACCCCTGAGCTACATCTGAACTCCCTTTCAATTATTTTTTTTGAGACAAGGTCTTACTAAGTTGCTCAGAACTTCACTAAATTGTTGAGGCTGGCCTCAAACTTGTGATCCTTGTGAGCCTTGGCCTCCCACATTGCTAGGTTTACAGATTTGGGCCACCATGCCCAGCTACAGTATAATTACTTAGCTTTTATATTGTATTATGTGTCATAAGTAATTTAGAGATGATTTAAAGTATACAGAAGAATATGCATAAGTCATATGCAAATGCTACATCATTTTATATAAGACCTTGAACATGCACAGATTTTTATAAACAAGGGGGTCCTGAAACTAATCCTCTGTGGATACCTAAAAACAACTATATATGTATTTAATGTTTTGTATAAAATTGAGGATACTTTAATTTAATTGTACAGGATAGAGATTTTAGTTCACAGTTTGTGTTGTAGGATGTTAAATAATTCAGGTTTGTCTGCTTACATTTTTTAATTAATTTGTTTCTTCTTCCATCTCTCCCTTATTCTAAGGTGGATACATTGCAAATAGCCTAGCAATTATGACAGATGCACTTCATATGTTAACTGATCTAAGTGCTATCATACTTACCCTGCTTGCTTTGTGGCTGTCTTCAAAGTCACCAACCAGAAGATTCACCTTTGGATTTCATCGCTTAGGTAGGAAATTGAGGTTTCTTTTGGTATAATATTTTATGGTAAAACCACAACTGTAAACCCTGTTTAACCAAAATCTTTATAGTGATATCTAGTTTGAACAAAGCAAATGAAAATAGTTAAGTGGTATTTATTCAAAATCTTATCTTCCTGGTGCACGCCAGTGGCTGCAGAGGCTGAGGCAGGAGGATCATGAGTTCAAAACCAGCCTCAGCAAAGCCAAGGCACTAAGCAACTTGGTGAGACCCTGTCTCTAAATAAAATACAAAGTAGGGCTGGGGATGTGGCTCAGTGATCCAATGCCCGTGAGTTGGATCCCCAGTACCCCAAAAAAAAAAACAACAACAAAAAAAACTTCCAACATACATTTAGCCCAGTCAGCTACACACATTTAAAATTATATGGTGAGCATTAATCCTCAAATGTTGTTCCTTCTGTCCTAAAGATGTTGGTAAAAAGTTTACTTTTATTGTATTGAGCCAAGCAAAACCATATGGGTTTAAAAAGAAAATGATGATTTAGTTTTAACTCACTAATGAGCATTAGCTTTTACTTTTACTTTAGAAATTTTAGCCAAAGCTACTAAGCCTAGATTTTAAGCACTATTATAACAGGTGCAACATATACTGTGTTCCTGCCCTTCATTTCATCCATGTGTCAACATAATTCCAAAAATGCACTCATTTTTATTGCCAATTTAAATAGATATTAATGTTTAAGAGGGGTCAGTATCATACATTGTTATCTGTACAGCTCTGCCTCTTACTTTGCTTTTCTATTTTTTTTACTTATTTTGAAAATATGTATAAAATTATTACCTGAACTATTGTATTAAGTGCCATATACCCAGATAGTATTTGCATAGAATCCAGAAGTTGCCATTAACTTTATATTCAGCAGAAACTATCTCAAAGAACCAGAGTTAATATCTGGAAGTTTTATTTTGTAGGGACTCTCTACTCTTGGTTATAAATCAATCAGTTCATCATCTTCTTTGTTACTCTTTAGCCTAATCTTAACACAGCATCTAGTTCTTGTTTAGTCATTGTGTTTTCTAGTGCAAAACTGGATATCTAGGTCTTCATGTTGGGAAGTCACCTGGCATCCCTACCCTCAGAACTATCAGATACTGTACAAAATTATCTTATTAACATATTCAGGATGTTTTTAAAAAGAAACATAAGAGGGCTGGGGTTGTGGCTCAGTGATAGAGCCTTGCCTAGCATGTTGAGGCACTGGGTTCAATTCTCAGCACCACATATAAATAAATAAATAAAATAAAGATCCATTGACAACTAAAAAATATTTTTTAAAAAAGAAACATAAGAGCTATATCTGAAATTAAAAGTATTTTTGCTGAAATTTTTAAAAATACTTTTTCAGTAGAAGGACTAAAAAAGAAAGTCTCCCAGAATATAGATAGTATGGAAACAGGAAAAAATGTTTAAAATTATAAGAGAATAATCTGCAAGGTCCACGAGGCCTGCTATTAAGAATCTCATAAATAGAACTTCAAAAATAAAAGGTTACTGTGGTACACACCTGTAATCCCAGCTACTCTGGAGACTGACAGGAGGATTACAGATTTAAGGCTAGCCCAGGCAATTTAGTGAAACCTTATCCCCAAAAAAAAGGGCTGGGGGTGTTTTTCAGTGGTAGAGCACTTCTTGCCTAGCATGTGTAAGGCCCTGGGCTCAATCCCCAGGGTTGGAGGGAAGTGGTGCATAAATAAATAAAAGGGAGTAACTATGGAATGGATTTCTTATACGGGTTATGAGCATGTTCTAGAATTAGATAATGGTGATGTTGTTGCACAGCCTCATACAGGTATTAAAAACTATTGAAATGTACATTTTAAAATAGTGAATTTTTATCTAAATTTTTCAAAGTTATCTAAAAATAATTAAAGAATTATTAAAGATACAGATAAGTGAGTATTTTTTAGAGGCAGGAAGGTATTCAAGCTTCACACTAAAAGAGTACTTTTGGGGTCTTCCTTTTGTATTTGTATTACAAAAGCTTATGGGGCTGTATCTACATATAGACCTTATTTCACTTATTCTTTTCTATGAAGTAATAGTGGAAATAATGGAAGAAAATAAGTATGTTGATTTTGGGGAGCTCAGAAGACAGAGATATGCAGAATTTGGTGAAAAGAGCTGTAAACAAAAGCAGTTGGTGTTTTGAGTTTCACAAAATATCATGAATAATCTGAAGCTCTGGGAAGAAGGGTATGCTTCCATTGTACACAGTTAAACAATGCAGCTCTTGTGACCTCTAATTCCATCGCTTTGAGATTCAGGTCCAGAAGAACACTGCAGAAGTACCCCTGAGAAACTTCTGGTGTGTTGTTATTGTGACTAAATTTTGTTTTGTTTTGATAACATGAAGGGTTGGAAAGAGTTTGGGGGTTTTGTTGTTAATTAATTTTGTTAAATATGTAAACCATACAAAGTTTACTGAGGAAAGACTTGATATTATTCTGTTCCCTCCACCTTATCCTCCTGTCCTACTCCATGGTAATAAGCCATTTGGATTAGTTTTTGGGCTATCATTTCAGCATTTCTTTGGGGAAATATAAATAGATACTTATACGTGTTCATATTCTGTTCTTCAGTGTTCCTTCTTATTAAATTTTTTTTTAAAAAAAGCAACATGCTCTATACCCAGTTCTAGACCTGAGGCAGCAAGTATGCACAGTTCTACCTCTTGAAGATCACTTTATACTCAGAAATGCATAGAAACTTCTGACTTAAAAGTTCCAAACTTAAAGAATGACCACTTAGCTATTCAGATAAAAATAGTATTCTTTTGCTTCTTTTTGACTAAGAATCGAATACAAGATATTACCTTGGGATTCCACATGGGGAAGCAGAAAATTAAACTAGATTTTTTAGAAATTTCTATTTGTGTTGAAGAACCAAATGCACTCTTGACATTAGTAATTATCAAGCCATAGTTTAATTATAATAGTAATTTTAATTCTGTTATGGGTGTCTTTTCCATTTTGAAAAATCACATTCTCTTATGTCCAGGTACTAGCAGTTAAACCCAGTCACTAACTAAATCCCAGCCCTTTTTATTTTTTATTTTGAGACAGGGTTTCAATAAATTGCAGAGGCTGGCTTCAAATTTACAATCCTCTTGCTTCAGCCTACTGAATTGCTGGGATTACTGGCAAACACCACTGTGCCCAGTTGATTATATCCTTTTGATTAGTGTTTACAAGTACCCATGAAAGGCAACAAAGAATCCACTGGTTTGACTTCAGTCTTGGCTCCCTTGCTTCCTACCAGTGTAACTTTGGGGTTGTTACCTAACATCATTGTGTCTCTATTTCCTGTTTGTAAGAGTATAGTAATAATTGTGCCTATCTCTTAAGAGTCATTAAGAATATTTAATGAGGGCTAGGGCAGTAGCTCAGTGGCAGAGTGCTTGCCTAGCATGCATGAGGCACTGGGTTTGATCTGCAGCACCACATACAAATAAACAAATAAAATAAAGGCATTCTGTCCATCTACAACTACAAAAAAATTAAAAACAAAAAAGAATATTTAATGAGTTGAAGTTTGTAAAGTGCTTAGAACACTATCTAGCACTTCAAAACAGCCTTCATTTATTCTTTAATTAGCTTCATTTATTCTTTGGGAGAAAATAAAGTTAATTCAAGGCATATATGTAGCTTATACGTATATATCTAGAAAGACTATTAAAAACTACGGATTATCTGATCTTTAAAATTTTGGGTTAAATTTCATCATAATATGGTACAAATCATTTTCACTAGTTTTAGGTGCTAGAGATAAAATGGAGTTTAGATTTTTTTCCTTAACTCATTAAATCCCAAGTTTTCAATTTTGTGAGTATTTCAACAAAATTAACACAAGTGCATTAAAATAGGTTAGAAACAAAATGTAGAGCTTATATGTCCTTTATATATATTTGTATATCCTTATATATTTGTTATATATAAATGTTTTTTATATATATGAAATTTTTCTAATCATTCACCTGTTACTTTTCTCAAGAGTAGACTTCTAAAAACATAATAATCATTTCAAATTACCATAAATGGTATATTTTTTGCTCAATTTAAGTTTTTTATAGGTGTTCCACATCTGGGATAATGGGACAAAATGGGTTAAGAGAACAGAAATGCTGTGAGCCCAATGGAAGCAAGCAAGAAGACTTCCTGTTGCCTTCTACTCTTACCTTTGGTTTCTTTTAGGTTCCTAAATATTTTTGATACTGATTTATGCCTATGAATAGTTTTTAAGTACAAAAGATAATGGGTTCTCACCCATATGAGAATGATTAGAATGTTTCTTAAGAAAGTAGAAATAAAGGAAATTGAAGAGTCAGTTCTACTTGGTAGTAAAATAGTGACAATGACACATGCTATTACATTTGTTTTCTCTCTTCTACATCAGTTCCTTGGGCAGTTCAGAGACTGAATCTGGAAATTCCTTTATAGAGAATTAGCTTCAGAGTATTAAGTACTGTCTGCAGTGAACTTTCAGCTTCTTCAAATGGTCTGGTGTAAGGAAGAAGAAAGTTTCTGTTTCTTTAGAAATCCAAAGATTAGCTTTTACTGAATAAAATACTGAAATGAGGAAATTATGATCCAATTTCTGATCTTCTTTTGTTTAGCTGATATAGAGTAACTAGTTTTACTATGCCTTTGGTTCTCCTTCTGTAATAAGGGAAGGGTTGGTTGGTCTATTTGGTTGGTTGGTTGGTTTTGATACTGGGGATTGAACCCAGAAGTATTTTACCACTGACTTATATTCTAAGCCCTTTTTTATTTTTGTACTTTAAGTCAGATTCCCACTGAGTTGCATAGGGCTCACTGTGTTGCTGAGGCTGACCTTGAACTTGCACTCCTCCTGTCTCACCCTCCAAGCCACTGGGATTATAGAAATGCACCCCCATGCCTAGCTAGGAGTTTTTAATATTCACTTAGAATACTGTCAAATTACAACTGATACATCTAATTCACACTA